AGTGCAACCTGTTTCCTCAACAGGCTGTTTTTGGGGATATTGGGCCCAATCAAGTGCTGTTTGCCTGCTATTATAAGTAGCATAAATTACATTCAAATTTAAGCTTAAAATTAAAATAAAATTCAAATCATGCATAAAATTAAGCGTACAATTTAGTCCAAAGCACATCACATTAAGGCATAAAACTCTCCAAGCTGCCAAAATTACTTCTATATAGGGCAACCAGAATGTGAAATATATGCAAGAAAAGCACATTTTAATTATTATTGTTATTATTAATCATGTTCACTTTAATAATTTTTCATTTGCCCTCTGTTTCCAGGCATCCTCTGTTAGGTCGCCACATGCGGCTCTCCAGTGGCTCTGGGTTCATCGTGTCCCACTCAGGTGTGATTGTGACCAACGCTCATGTGGTAACCACAGCTGCCTTGGTGACAGGCAGGCCACAGCTGCGTGTTCAGCTCCACGACGGAGACGCATATGAAGCCGTGGTGAAAGACATAGACAGGAAGGCAGACATTGCTACAATCAAGGTCAATCCACAGGTAAGGGCACAAGCCCTGACATGCTATCATCATAAGCTTCTCTACCCTCTTCTCCTTTTCAAATATAAACACATGAATCTTTAGATTTTTTTTTACATCCATAAATCTTAAACGAGCCCACATAAACCACACAGCCCACATCCTGACACATTTCTTTGTCAACATCTGACAGTTTTCTGCTAGACATTAATAAGACTTTCATAAACACTAGCTCCGTGAGTCACAGACAGAGCGCTGATGTGTGTAATCTCACACCCCTGTCTGAAATACCTGCTGAGTTTTGTAAGCTTTCAACTATTCCTCTTCCTCTAAATGTCTTTTCTTCTTTTCATCTGTGTTGCTCTGACATACTCGTGTTTTCGCCTGTGTGCTGGTATTTTTTGAGTGTTTTTTTTTTTTTGTGCTTGTTGTAGCAGAAGAAACTTCGCGTGCTGTCTCTGGGCAGTTCGGCTGATCTGAGGCCAGGAGAGTTTGTGGTTGCCATTGGCAGCCCTTTCGCCTTGCAGAACACCGTCACCACCGGCATCGTCAGCACTGCACAAAGAGATGGCAAAGAGCTGGGCATAAAGGACTCAGACATGGACTACATCCAAACTGATGCTATTATTAACGTGAAACATTTTTAAATATCTGCATCTGTACACATTGATTGCATTATTGAACTACATAATTGTCTTTTAACATTCCCATATGTGTAAGAATTACTGTTGTGCTTGTTTCTATTTTATATCTTCCATACTTGTGTCAAGTACGGCAATTCGGGAGGACCTCTTGTTAACTTGGTAAGTGGTGTTCTCTAAGGTACAGTAGATGATCCATTTGATTTTGGAGTGTTTTCAGTTTGGCCTCAAACAAAGAACAGAGTTTTCACTAACGCAGCATAAACAGTTATGAGTTTGTGATATTCATATGAGCCTGAATATCACAAACTTATTATTCCCCAAAGCACAGAGGGAGCTTAAGTGTGATATACACTACAGACATTATACCTGATTTTGTTGTATGTATTGCAGCACATTTAAAGAAACTATTAACTGTCACAAATAGCTTTGTAGATGTGTGCATAACAAGGCACAGAATGCAAACAAAATGTGAGCTTTACCAGCTGAACAGTACTCCAAGAAGCACAAAGTTAAGAGTCACGAAAACCCAGAGAATCTAGAAAGAAGAACAAAGTACCAGGTTAATTCCAAAGAAAATAAACTGGACAGCATGAAAGGGAAGTGGAGGAGCACACACAGGAAATTCCAAAGATCAACAGTTAAAAGGGACGACAGGATTATAATTACGGAAAAATTATTATGGATGAAAACAGTAAGGAGAGGAGCACAGGAAGCAAAACTGACGCAAGACACGAAAGAAAGCAAACCTTCAAAGTAAAACACTAACAATTAACAAACGAACGCACATGGAAACGCTTGCTAATATCAAAACACAAGATATCATAAAAAATAAAACTCACGCTCTACGAGAACAAGAAATGAAAACAGGAAATCCAGATGTTCAACAAACACAAAATCAGAATCAAAACACTTTATTAATCCCTAAGAAAATTATGTGGTCACAGTTGCTCCAAAATAACAAAAATAGTAACTATCTAAACTAAGTGAAATAATACAGTGTATTGCAAGGCTGAAAAATATAGCAAAAGAGCACTAATAAATAGAAACGGCTCTATTTCATAAATATAATTCAGTATATTACACATATTAAATATATATGGTTGAAAAAAAATCTAAACTTCAAACATAGAAAAATAGAAAAATAAAACATGACTAAGACTCAAAAATACTAAGAAACCAGAATGCAGAACCAAAGCACAAAAACCTGCGATATGATACAGTCTTTGCTTGTTTTATAAAGCCTCTTGTGACCCATGAACTATGAACTCAAAATGGCTCAAAATTGATTTACAGATTTGTTCAAGCATATTTTCTTGTGGCCAGTGATTAAAATATTACAGTCACCAAATAATACACTGATCAGTACCACTATTTCTGCTTTTTCTAGCTATAACGGCTATAGCTGTTACTCCAATTTTGGAGTTCTACTAATATTTAAAAATATATATAAAAAATATATATATATAAAAAAAAATCTCAAAGTATAAACGTGCAGTTTATTTTTATTGACTGCAGTAACACTGGGACACAATCGTGACACATCATGTGTCACATGCTTTTAAAGTGTTCTATGTAATGACACATTTATAACGCCATAAACGTGTTCACGTTTAAAAAGGCACATGCATTGTGTTTTTATCAATATATCACAGCAACTGTAGTTGTGCCATATGCTCGGCTCTACATACCAACTGATGCAGTTTTTTTTTCTGGAAATCTTGACATATTTTTCTCAGTTCTTACTGGCTGATATTTATGTCAGCATCAAGTCCTTTTTGGCAGCCATCATGTTGTGTTTGTCTTTCTACATGTGTTTGTGTTTCCTTCAGGATGGC